AAAAAAAAATTAATTAATAAATAGTTTTTAATATTTATAAAGTAAATTTCATGAACAAATTTTTTACTTAAGAGCTTTAATGTTTTTTTTTATTTATATAAATTATTTATATATTATATTAATGCATTTATTTATTTATTTATCTATCTTGAGGACGAAATCGTACCGTATTTCGCGGGCTCGAGGAAGAGCGAGTACTTCGCGGAGTAAATATCCACGTAAGTGATAACGGCAAGAGGCAGCTCCTTCCTCATCTCCACTAAAGTCTCGTTGAGCTTTTTGTTGAACTGCTGTGCCGCCTTGTTGTAGAAGACAGCACAGCCGGCTGAATCAAGCTCGCCGACAGCGGTGATGTTTCGTCGGAGCAGGACGTACGCGAGGCAACCGAGTGGGCCGGTGTTGTGAATCCAGAAATACCTCGCCCCCAGGGCATACATGCTCTTAACATCGCCGGAGAAGGCGGATAACGTCTGTGGAATGAACTCGTCATACGTTTTTCCGGCGTCCAAGCCGGCGGTGATGTCATTCTGCCCGATGTCGATGGTATAAAGAGATTGGTTGAAGTATTCCTTCTTTGGCATCAAGGATTCGAAGAACCGTCGTGCAAGCAACAATGGGGATTAGTTTTTCAAAATTTTAGGGCAGTTGAATTTGGACCAACATCCTGTAAAGGGGAATTTTATGAAAATTATAGTCCTATTAAATAATTATGTATAAAATGTTCTCCACACAAATACCGTTCTAGTAATTTTACTTGCCTCGCTTGGCGACTAATTGAGACCTGGGAATGAATTGGGAGAACTGCATAACCTGTACGGCGAGAAAGAAGGGGCTGTATCCTCCCTGTGACAAAGAGATGTTTTGATCTATAATGGTGGAAGCTGCGGTGGCGAGGTTAACTCCATGGCTGTAATTTGTGCCCAGCGAATCCAGGTAGGAGCTCAGGAAAGGATGCCCAAAGCTCTTTGCTGAAAACATTTCATAAAAGAATTTCATTATTTATATCACATTTGAACCCTAAGCAAAGATGGTAAGGGGGATTTAGCAACGGAACCGATGAAATCGATGATAAGACGGCCGTCGGAGTATCGACCCGCCGGCATATGAAAGAAGGTCTCGCCATACGGGGGTGGAGTCAGGCCGAAGGTCGCCGATAACCCGCCGGTGTCAGAGTTAGAGTCGCCGAAGTTGATGATGGCCGGAAAATTGCACGCCGGCGAAGAATACGGTATCTCCGGCACGCTGTAATAAAAGAACAGGAGCTTGAGGAGGAGGAGAGGTTTCATTTTGAAGGAAGTTCTGCTCTGTTTGAATAAAAAACGGAGAGAGAAAGGGAGCCTTTGGAGGAATTTAAAAAAGCAGCAAGTTTAAAATCTAATTATAAGAAGCGCGACAAATTTATCACTGTTTGGCACAGCTGAATATGACAAATTTATTAAACTGTTTGGCTCATTCAATTGAAATAAATGATTGATAGGGAGATAATAAGAGAGATAAAAGAGAATAGACAAATGGGGAGAGAGAGAAATAAAGGGAGTGACGAGGGGAAATTTTTAGACTAAGCACATTTAATGCTAGAAATGAAGGGGAATAGTATAGTGATTTGATGGATACACTAATCTCATAAAAAATTCAAATTATGAGATTTGTACATAGTAGAGCATTTAGTGGCATATATAATAATACAATGCATTTGTATATAATTATATAACATGCAATAAATATAAAATTTTAGCCCATCTTATAATTTATCTTATTTAAGTATACAATAAGTACATAATGGAGCACTCACGCCTTCCGCCCATGAAGTTGTGAGGAACTGAGGTGGGGAAGACATTTGCACATTGTCGGACATCATAGGTCCAGTTGCTCATCGGAAAATATAATCCAATCATTTTTCTTTTCCATAGTGGGGAATAGGAGAGACCGATGGATTCCCCTTCTTTTTCTTTCACCCGTTATTAGTCCTATCAGTGCCCTTACCATCAAGATTCTGTTGTGAGTTCCACGTTTTGTCGTTTGATGATATCCAAGTTGCAAGTTCTTTTCCATCTTTGAGGATTTAATCAAGTCTGTTAATTTCCATTAAAGTGTGATATGCTTTAGTAAACAATTAAAGTTAAACATTAAATATGTATGTTGACCTCGATTTTGTCCAGACCCGGGCCTGAAAGGTTGACTTGGTCAAATTGACCAAGCCAGACCCTATGGCCCTCCCCAATAGGTTCTGTGGGTCGAGTCGAGTCTGTTGGACCCGGGCTTGGACCCTGGGTCAACCCAGTTGACCAAGTCAACCAGGGTTGACCACTTAGCCTATCTAGAGCTCAAATTGATTTAAATCAAATCGAATCCCTTTCAGGGCTCAAACCCCTCATCCCCTTGACCCATTTGACTAGGTTGACCAGGTCAATGGTTGACTTGGTCAACTTGAGTCTTAAATAGGTCATAATGACCTATTTAGAGGGAATTAAGGCCTATTTAATTCCCTAATCAATGCCCATTGCTTAAAAATTCAAAACCCACGGCCAAATAGGAGGGATTTCCCTCCTAATAAACGCTAGATTCGATCCAAGCCGTTGAGGGTAGGGCTAGGGGGTTTAAATATCAAATATTCTATCTAAAGAAGGACTTTTGACTCTTGCTTAATCTCGAGAGCTCCTCAGCCCCTGGGATTCGATGAGAGTGCTTTCACGACCCTTTCCCACCTTCCCCGACCAAATCCCGACCACCTAGAAAAAACCAGTGGAGGAGAGATCTTGCACACCACAGTTGAAAATTATGTTATTGAGTTCTCCCAATCTACAATTAGAAAGAGGATAACCTCCAGCTTTTTCAGATTCAAATCTGCAACAATTAAAGTCGCCAAGGATAACCCACGGTTGATCTTGAGGGGGGATTGAGTCAGATAAGTGACTCCACAGTTTTTTCCTTTCATCAATATTGTTTGCCGCATAAATTACAGAGAGGTAAATAGGCGGGAAGGAGCCCGCCGAGAGAACACCATGAATAATTTGAGACGAGGAAGAAATTTGAGTAAAAGAGAAAACAGAAGAGTCCCACTTTAGCCAGATTCTGCCTGGATTGGAGTCTCTGAAATTATTACAGCTACCTTCATTCTCGAAAAGCATGTGGGAGTTTATGAACCACTGATCCTCAAAAACGGAAGTAGAAATCTTAGCTTCCAAAATACATAAAAGTTTAAGATCATTAGATCTGATCAGAGACTTGCAATAACTAACTTTGTCTGGGTTGTTGAAACCCCTAACATTCCAACTAGCGAAGGTTGGAAAAGGCATTAAGACTTAGGAGTTTTGGCCTTCTTGGCCGATTTCCCTTTAGAGGGCTTTGACTTGGGGGGGGGGGACTTTTCCTTGTCATTAGAGGACCTAGTTTTCATATGAGCTTTGTCCTGAAGATTATAATCCGGTTGCTCAACAGCGACAATAGAAAAAGAAGAGGTTTCAGTCTCAGAGGAAGAATCCACGGAGATTGAGGGTTCAGGGTCTTCAGTTTGCAAGGAAGCAAACTTATTTATGAGGGGTAATGTCGGAGGTGGGGGAATGCAAGGGGGAATGGGATTACCAGAAGATGAGGAATCTTCTGTAGGGGAGTTAAGGTTGGGAAGATTGAGAAGAATACCAGGAGCTGATTTCGGGTCATAGACAGGGGCCCTAGGAGGGAGACCCGAAGTCTGGGCAGGAGGTATCGGAGTAGCAGATTGTGGAGGGTGGCTCAAAGGCAGGGAGGGGGTATTGTGGTTCAGAGAAGTAGAGGGAGAGACATCAGTATGTTCCAAGACAGAGGGAATATTGGTATTGGAGGTTTTTGGAGGCGGTAAAATGGAAGGAGATCTTTGGGGACGAGAAGCACGAGATCTGGAAGTGCTACGGCCACGAGATTTTGGCGGTTGGGGAGGAAGAATGGGTTGGGGATTAGGATTTTGGGGGCAAAGAGAGAAAGGGTGAATTAAGGAACCACATCCTTCACATTTATCAGGTTTCCAATCATACAGGACTTTCAAAACCATGTCCTCACCATCAATTTCAATCGGAATATCTTCCGGTAAAACAGAGTCTTTAGTAATGAGAACGCATACCCGAGCAAAAGTTAGTCTGGAACGTTTGGCTGTGAGAGCGTCAACGGAAATCGGAATACCAACATAGCTCGCGATTCTGGAGATGCCAGTGGGAGTCCATAACGCTAAGGGGAAGTCAACAATTTTAATCCAAATCGGGATGGGGGTCGATTCATCGCGCTTTGGTTTGAACTTTGGCGACCAACGCTGGAGGATGAACGGTTTTCCCAAAAGGAACCACGGACCACCCGCTAAAATCGTTTCCAAATCTTCGACAGTGGAAAACTTGAGCAGAAAGAAGCCATCAGCAAGAGAAAGTAAAGTCATGGAACCTTTAAGCGTCCAAAGTCTCTGCATCGCTTTGAGCAACCGTTCATAGTAAGGTCTGGGGCCAAGAGAATAACCAATAAGGGCAGTGTTCCAAAGAGACTTCCCTTCAGAGAGATCCGATGAGTTGAAAGAGAGCTTATGTCCCGGATTGTAGAAGGCGACTGGAAAAGGGGGTGGCTGGAAAGCTGGGACCGAGACATTATCCGCGTATGATGGCCCGCCAGGCGAGGGGCCAAGCAAAGAAGAGTTGGGGAGCCGAGGAAAAGCCTCCGGTGGGGAGGCCATCGGAGGGAGGCCAACCCGGGCAGGAGCAGTCGGGGAGAACCAAAACGCAAAACCCTAGCTCCTGAAATGTTCACTTTTCTTCATAAAAGAAGCTGCTGCTGCTTCGGAGATGAGAAAATAGCTTTCATTTCTTGTCGAATATAAGCTCATCAGAACTTGAGTGGAAGCGGGTTTATTTTGTTGGCTTCATCTATTTTGAGAATATTTACAAAGAAGATTCATTGTTTCAGCGTTATTTTTAGTTTAGTTATTACTTGTTTTGAGTCGTTTTCATGAATTAGCCTAGCTTCTTTATTTGTAGATATAAGTTCTAGATATATCATCTTTAATTATTTTAATTAATTTTATCAGATTATCTTATTGCATATCTACCTTTTTTTTCATGAATAAATCAAATTAATCAGAGGATGTTATATACATACATATTCATTTTTTTTTTAATCTTGTATACTGCTCATGATTTATACAATCATATCACAATTATTTTGTCATGAGAACAAAAGAATAGCTAAAATAATAAAAACCTAAACTTGAAGGATCTTGGTCATTCTCACACCCTACACCCTTGCTCTAATCTGAAAATATTTAACTATATATAATGAGCTCAAGAGCCGAGCAAGTACCAAATCCTACAACTAACTCAAAGCACGGTAAAAAAGCAATATGCATGTTAGTAGTCAAATCATAACAGTAACATTTATATGATTATGAATTAGTACAGAAATAGTAAAACTCATATATAATAGCAATAAAGTCTGTAAACAATAAAAAATAGGGTATAAAAGCCAATACAATAGTACATTAGAGAAACTAATAAATCAGTACGAATGTCATATTAATAAAGCAGCGGTCGTATCAATACTATCAATCAATAAATAAATCACATAATTGTTAAAACCAAAGCCTCAATGAAAACCTGCATCAAAATCATATCAATAAAGTAAAACCCTAAAATAATTTATACATGCTATCTAATACGTCACATACAAAGTATATTACATGCTCAATATGTCATATACTTAGTATTAATACAAGGAATTAGTAGTATCAAGTTGTATCAATGTTTGTATTGATAGTAATAATAATCCAATGTCATTAGTAAAATCGATGCAATAAAAATAAAATAATATAATAATAAATATGTATAGTAATAATAAATTAATATAACAACTATAAGGTCATATAATAATAATGAATCAGTAACATGCATTTCAATAATCATACTAAAAAAGTAAGAAGATCTCATTTATGTAGTATTTTTCAATAATTTGTTATTTAGTAATTATTGGCTCAATAAATAGAATCACCAATCTTTGCCCATTGACATTTTAATAACTATTTAAAACTCTCAATCAATGTACTACGTAAACTAGTAGAAAACAACACCTAACACTATGATATTTAAAAGAAAGCTCATTGACCCACTATCCTCTGCAGGTCAATTAGTCTCTAGCTAACATCAATCAAATCATTTTTTTCTTTTCTTTACACATATTATTATCATATTATTATAATAGTAATAACGACCAACGTACTATTCCCTAACGATACACCCACTTTTAGTCTCAAATCATGTATTAATATCATGTTTAAATAAAAATGCATAATAATTTATTTAGTATGAATCTTATAAAATTTAATAACTTCTATTTTATTCAGTAAAATTTAATAACAATAAAGTCAAAATACTCATATTATCGACATCTATCACATATCAAAAGTTAAGCAAAGAAAGTATGTTAAAAATCAATATATCACAATTTTATAAGTTTTGACTAAATTAAAATGCAAAATAGACAAATCATTGAAAGAATTCAATGATATCAGAGTTTTTCTCTAAAGAATGTTGGCATGTTCTTTTATTAGTATGACCAAAATTCGTGACGGAGGTTGAAAGGTTGTAATCGGGCGACCAAGATAGAGGGAACCGTTGTCAAGTGGTAGAGGTCAAAGGGACTGTAACATAATGGATAGTAGCCAACGAGTGATGGAGGTCAAAGTGACCGTAGTTGGGGGGTGACGGAGGTCCAAGGGACTATATATAGTTAGCGAGCGATGATGGTTGGAGGGACTATAATCAATGGGTGGTGGTAGTCAGAGGAATGATTATCAGCATGCGACGATGATCGGAGGGACCGTAGTTGGCAGGCAATGGTGGTCGAAGGGATCATAATTGACGAACGACGATGGTCGGAGAGACTATAGTCGGTGGGCAACAATGGTCAAAGAGATCGTAATTGATGGGTGATGGTGTTTGGAGGGACTGTAGTTATTGGATGATGAAGGTTGGAAGGACTATAGTCGGTCGACGATAGAGGTCAGAGGTGTGAAACCCTTTACATGAAAGAATATAAACTCTTAAATATTGAAGGATTTTTTGGTGTAATGGTTGTAATTTCATTTAAAAAACTCCACAATTATGTGTGCTCATATTAGAGAAATCCTAGCATGGATAATCTCCTGAAAAGTTACACCAACATAATAAAATCGTGAGGCCCTTAGGTCTAAGCGGACAAAATCTTGATAGTTAAGAGTTTGAGCTATTACAAATGGTATCAGAACAATACACCAGCAGGAAGATGTGAACTAAGTATCATATAAGACAAAGTGCTAAGCCATAAGAGCCACCACTTTAACTCTGTATGAGAAAGTGCTACATGGTGGGAGACACCACTTGAAGTTGTAGAGGCTTCCTCTAAAATTTTATCTGCGTGATGGATGATTCTAGGTTAAAGATATTGACGAAGATGTCAGTTACTTAAATGGGAGATATTATGAAAGCTCTTAGATAAAAGAAGCTAAACTCTTAAATATTGTGGCACCTTTTAGTACAATTGTTGGAATTTCATTTAAAAAACTCCGCAGTTTACTGTACTCAACCTGGAGAAATTCTAGGATGACTTCCTATGAGTTACACCAATAAGAAAAAATCATGAGGCTGTTAGATCAAAATGGATAAATATCAATAGTTAAGAGTTTAGGTTGTTATAGGAGGGATCATATTCGGTGGGCAAACGTGGTCGGAGGGACCATAGTCGATGGGTAAATGAGGTAGGAGAGATTGTAGTCGGCAAGCAACGGAGGTCAAAGGGATCATAGTCGACAAGCGACGATGGTCATAAGGATTGTAGTCGACGGGCAACAATGGTCAGAGGGACCCTAATAGGCCTGCAAAGGTAGTCAGAGGGACCATAGTCGGTGGCGATGATGGACGAAGGGACTGTAGATGGACAAAGGGACTGTTGCCAACAAAAATGATGGTCGAAGGGACACTAGTCAATGGGCAATGAAGGTTGGACGAAGGCCTGATGATGGCTGTTAGATGGAGATTCGATGACAATGGTCATGCGGAGGTTCAATGGTGGTATTCTAATGAGGGTTTGCCTATAGTGGTGCTCCGGTGGAGCTTCAGGATGCTTCAAACCTTAGAATTCTCTTGAGTCTCTAATCAATAGTCTAAGCTTACAAAAGTCCAAGCCCCCCATCCAGGGATAGGCAATCTATTTATAGATTTTGAGAGTGACATACTAAATAAATATAGAGAATATCTAGAAAAAATTTAGAGTACTCCATTAGACAAAGCATATTGATTCCCTCGATTATAAAGCATTCATTCAACATTTGAATTCCTTTAATAATATTATAATTAAATAATCTTGGACTCGTTCGATTCATCTCTTCAAGCCGCTCGATTCAATTATAAGCATGTTATATTTTGATATCATTTGTTCATTTAATTAATGCTTTAAAGCTTCCAAATATGCCTTATGCCTTGATTGTTGGTCATTTTGGCTCTGATTAGACCGATTTTGGTGTTATTGGGTTTCTCTTATCGAGATGTTTAATTTAAGGATAAGTTTTCTAATATTGGATTTCTGATGGTTTTAGTTTGGAAACTTTCCAATTGAGATATATCTTGAGATTTGTTTCTAATGAAAATGATTTTGGTGATGTATCAATAATAATGTTTATAATAATGAAAAAGTCTTATCCCTCAATTTATCCAAAAAAAAAATAGAAATATGTCAATCATAACTTACAAAATTTTAATCTTGAGCTCTGTCCATAATATTGTGGTGGTGTTCTTGAAGATTGGTCTAATGGACGGAGCTCGATATGAGTGATTGTGAAATGCTCTCTCTTGTGCCCTCAATTATGGTATTTTTTCTAAAATTTTTTGTGGGGGTGCTAACTTTAATCATCTCTAGTATGTTGATGATCTTTTAGTATTTAATACTGTCTTATTGTAGAATGATTCCCTCTTAAATAAAACTCTCACCTCTTTTTCTTCTACTTCTGAGTTTTTTATTAATCAGGCCAAGTGGTCCATTCTTTTTTTCGTAATACCCCATTGGTGGCTGAAATTTGCTATATTCTTAGCTTCCCCCAAGTTGGCCAAACCTTAAAGTGTTTAGGCCTTCTTATGATCTCCACTAGAAAACTTACAGTCGTTCACTTCCAGCCACTTCTGAGTAAGATTTCTACTCTACTTGATAGTTGGAAAGTTAATTTCTTATCTTTTGCAGGTAGAAGTCAATTCCCGAGGTTCTCCATATTTACTACTTTGGCCTATTGGATTAGATGCTCTATGATCCCTAAGAGTTGCTACAAAATCATTGATAGGCTTTGTTCCATATTTTTTTTTCATGGTTCTACTGTTGAGAAAAAATTTCACCTCATTGCTTAGAATAAGACTAATATGCCTCGAAGTTTTGGTGGTTTGGGCATCCAGGCAAATCAATCCTTGTATCATGGGTTTGGCTGCTCTTTTATATGGAGGTTATACACTAATAACTCTTTGATGGTTGATGGTTTAGGTCTAAATTTTCTTCCCTATGGAAACCTCTTACCCACACGTCTTCAAGATTTATGGAAATGTATATGCATTATTGCTTGTTGGATAAGAGATTGCATTTCCTTCAATGTTTCTGCTTTTGATGTTAAATTCTTTATTTACTGGGACGGTGGGACCCTTGGTGTAATGGAAAAGCCATTTCGGAGAACATGAACCCCTCAATCCTCCAATATCTCGGTACAAACCTTTATTTCTCAGGGTACTTAGATTTTACCGTGTCACTTCTCTCTTATGGTTACCTAGAGCATCTCTTCTATGCTTATCTAGCATCACCCTCCCTACACTATTTCCTGGAATGGCAATGCCAATCCCTGATTTCAATCTTTTTCTCTACATTTCTTTGCCAACTCTCAGTCTGTTTCTTAGCATAAAAGATGTTCTCTTAGGTTTCCATCTTTTGCTTGGGTAGCCTTACTAGATGGGTTAAAAACAGTGGATGTGCTATCTAAAAGAAATATCTACATTCAGGGTATGTGTTCCCTTTTGCTTCAAGGAGGACGAGAGCATTAAGCATCTATTTTTTTCATTGCGATTATTCTTTTTTTATCATTACTGTGCTTTTGCCCCCCACCTACAAAGTTTTTCAATGTCACCTTCCCCTGCTGGACTGTCATGAGTGGAACCAACTTCTAGAAGCTGTCTCTCCTTAGATGGCCTCATCGTACCTCCTAGATTTTCTGTCACGGAAGGCCTGCTTTTGTTCTGGTGGTGCAACCTACTCTTTTCTTCGTTGGTTGGTTTGTTGGCAACCAGGGGAGAGTTTTCTAGGTTCTCGCTGCCCTGCTGAGCTGCTCCATTGATGATTTTTCTTTTGGGCCTTTGGTTTCACACTTTCCTGAGTCCATCTCTTCCACCTCCTCTACCTCTTTTTGATCCGGTTTTGACTACTTTTTAGGAGTTTTGGAGTTTTTCTCCTTTCACTTTTTGTTACAACTCTGGCTTTACTTGTAATTTTCTTTTTGAGTTATTTTTTAATTTGGTAATTTTTTGTTATTAATGATTCGAGCTTGATCTCAAAAATTTCACAAAAAAAAAAGTTTATAATTAAAAATACAAATAGATACATGGCTGCCCAAACCCAGTGTTGATGTTGATCCGTTTATCAACAAAAACCTAATAGAATACAAGAGTTGCAGGGCAGAACGCGAAGGGGTTACGTGTCGTAACCCAAGTACCGAACTTCATCAGCTGCTCTTCTCCAGTTCGCCGGCCGCCGCAGAACCCCCCATCGCCGTCCTTCCTTCCCTCCTAATTCGGCTCCTCAACCGAGCAAAACTGTAGATCTTCCTCAACTCCCTCACCTTCCCTTCCTTCCGTATCCCAATACCACCCACACCACACGCAGCATCCATAACCCTAATCCTCTTCTCCACCGCACCAAACGAAGCCGATTTACGGAGAGAATTGATAACTGACTTTATCGCTCGAGTCGACGATCCTCTGTTCGCAATCATTATCTCCCCAACCTCCGCCGGACTAATACGACCACCGGTCTGAAAGCCCTCCTCCACTTCCCTGTACAGCTTATGATCCTTCAATCCGAGGTAGCAACTAGCCAGCATCTTAAACGCCATGAAATCACATAGCGGGAAATGGATGCGGACATCGACCCGACCCGGCCGGACAACCGCGGGATCATCAATGCCTTTGCCTCCGCTCGCCGTGTAAACCATCACCCGTCCCTCGCCGCAGCAGGAGAACACGCCGTCCATGAAATTCAGCATCCATGACCTCGCCGAATACCGATCGAGATCTTCGACCAGAATTAGGGATCGCGGGGTCGTCGTAAGGAGAAGCGAGCGGATATCGGCGGAGTCGGAGACGAGGGATAGATCGAGATCGTAGACATCGTAGCAGAGGAAACGCGCCATAGCAGCGGCGAAGCTGGATTTCCCTGTTCCCGGCGCGCCTTGTAGAAGGTAGCTCCGCTTCCACACACGGCCAAGCCGAGAGTAGTAGTTGCGCCCCTTTAGAAACGATTCGAGATCCGCTTTTACTCGCGACTTCACCTCCGGATCCATCGCCACTGTTTCCAATGTGGCGGGGTGCGTCATAGTCACCCCTGATCCCCATCTCTGAGCAGAGAAATTCGTGTAAAGCCGAATCTCCTTTCGACGGATCTCGATCTCCACGGCGGCGTTCTCCACGTGCTGGAGATATGGCCGGAGGACGCGGTACCGGTCTTGGCGACGGAGGCGAAGAATAAGGCCGGTGTCGGGATGGGAAGTCCAGGAGAGGCGGGAGTGGAGAAAGGAGTCGTGGACGGTTTGCCCGGGGGCAAGGTGAGCGGAGAAATCGTTGGAGCGGATGCCAGACGAAAAGAGGTCGGTATGGTCGGAGTCTTCGACGGCGGGAAGGGAGGCGATGTAAGCAGCGGCTTTGCGGTAAAGGGGGTTTTCTTGCACGCCACCATTGTCGTATCGAGGTATTTTGAAAGTTTGATAGAACTGAGTTCGGTCTTCGACCCAACGCCAGCATCGGGTAAGTAAGTACAGAAGGGATTTGAACGAAAGGATTGTGCGGAAGAGGAGGAGGATGCAGACGAGGGCGGCGGCGGCGTGGAGAAAGCTCGCCGCCGATGAGGTGATCATCTGCAGGAGCAAGCGAAGTGGATGAAAGCTAGAAGATCATTGTTATCTCCGACCTCTTCTGTTGAAGATAGAATGTTAGTTGCAGAGGCGGGAGTTGAGAATTGGAGCATGAAAGGTGTGAAGAAGCCATAGATCGAAATTTATAGTAATGAAAATATTCTGACATTTACGTCAAGAAGTGTAAGCACGGAATGGGGTTACGAGTTACGACGTGCCATTTGGGTTTGAGGAACGGAATTGGTCAACACGGAAGGGGAAAAAGTATTGATTTGAAATTAATTTACCGTTTCCGATTGCGACTATAAAAGTGAACAAATAAAAAAAATAAAAATAAAAAATTTTTCTTGATACGCTTTACCATCAGATTAATTTAATATATTTCTTGCGGCCAATTTATAAAAACGAAATTGTTTTAAACTTAAATTAGTTTAAGGAGTAGGTTAATGAAAAATTAATAGAAATAAATATTAAATTTAATTATTCAATTTCAATATAAATCAATACTTCATAATAAATAAAAAAATTTGCTTGATACGCTTTACCATCAGATTAATTTAATATATTTCTTGCGGCCAATTTATAAAAACGAAATTGTTTTAAACTTAAATTAGTTTAAGTAGTAGGTTAATGAAAAATTAATAGAAATAAATATTAAATTTAATTATTCAATTTCAATATAAATCAATACTTCATAATGGGATTTTTAATTATATATATATA